TTTAAATTTTTTTCCTCTTAAGACACATCACAAAAGTCACTTACTCTGTGAAGTGTTCCATGATTTCCTTCAGTGTACTTCTCTGTGTTTCCATAGCAACTTGTATCTCTGCTGGTTATGGCACTTAACATATTATACTTTATCTATTTGAAAGGCACTTGCCCTTCCACAACACTGTGATCTTTTTGTGAAAGAGATCCCTGATGCCTGGTACAATACTGGGTACAGAATGGGAACTTAGGAAATGTTTGCTGAAGTGCATTGAATGGAATTATTCCCATATAACAATTCTATATTTATGTTTAAATCAATGTACTTAGTCTATAGGTAAATGCCTGCCAAAGTGATCTAAAAGTTTCTTAAATATGTAAAGCACAATACTTTAGGAAAAATCAGGAAACACAAAATGTTATTTCAAATGCTGGGAGACAATATTACACTGTTAATCTCTAGTGTATTTTTCCAGATCCATGAGATTTAATCCTATATGCAGCGCCCAGGTCAGGAGTAAATCACATGCCTACTTCTCTCTCCACAGCAGGAAATAGTGTTTCAGTTTCAACCCTCTAACATGCTTCTTGCATCATAGCCCCGCTCCTGGCCATGGTCAGCACTCCAAATAGATTATTCTAGGACCTCCTTGGACACTGCGTAGCCACTGACCATAATTTTTAAATTTTCATCAACCTGCTGCCTCAGGGAGTTCCAGAGAGTACAGCTTCTTTATGAAGATACCAAGAAATTGTAGGTTAGGAACCATCTAAGGAACCGCTTAAATGTAAAATGGTGGAAATTGCTGGTGAAATGTCCTCAGCCATGATTTCTATCCTTTTAAAGTGAATATCTGGCATCCAGTCAGGGATTTATGGAAACGCTTATGAGCAGAAATGCCGCAAAGGCCATGAGGAGATTGCAGAAGAAGAGAGACTGGATTCCATGAGGTTCAAGTTACCAGAAGGATGACCCCATCACATAGCACAGCACTGAAAAGGATACCTGTAGCCATATACACCACACTAAAGAGAGTACTGCTGCCTTCATTTCACAGACTGGATCCCTGAAGCTCATTTTCCTTAGGTTTTTCTCTCAACTATGGAAGCTGGATAAAGAGGAGTGAAAAGGCAAGACATAGTTCATCCAAGGTTGTGAGGCAGTTGAGAGACTTAGGCCTTCCACTGCCCTTGACTAGAAGATAGACAAGAATTTGAGCCTTTCGAGAGTGGATGTGAAGATGGTTAGAAAGTTGACATTTTAGGGGCGCCTGGGTGGCGCAGTCGGTTAAGCGTCCGACTTCAGCCAGGTCACGATCTCGCGGTCCGTGAGTTCGAGCCCCGCGTCGGGCTCTGGGCTGATGGCTCAGAGCCTGGAGCCTGTTTCCGATTCTGTGTCTCCCTCTCTCTCTGCCCCTCCCCCGTTCATGCTCTGTCTCTCTCTGTCCCAAAAATAAATAAACGTTGAAAAAAAAAGAAAGTTGACATTTTAATGGTTACCAGATGATCACACTGGTTCTAGGTTGAAACCTGGTTTCAAGAGAGTCCCAGTCTTGTTCATTTATTTGCTCCCCAAGACATATATGCTCCCCAAGACTATGCCAATAAAGGCCCTTTGGCTCAGATAATCTGCATTAAAATCTTGCCATAGTCTCTCACTGGAACAAGCTGAGTCCTTCAGTACAGAAATGTTGTAAAACTGTTCTGGGATGCAATGATTATTCTGATCCCAGGAATCAGAAATTACAAATTCAAGTATGATGTGAAGTATGCATGGCTAGAGAAATTTTATTCTAAGTATGGATAAGATCTTTATAATAATTTTTTGATAATAAGAACAAAAATGAGATCATTTAAATTCTGCCCCCTCATCCGATTCTTTTCCTGATATAAGTACCAATATACCTTAACCCTGAAATTGTTATCAGAAGCTTTTCTTTTTTATCAGTTACATTTCTAAGATAATGAGTTAAGAAATAAAATAACTTTTAAAACTTCTAAAGTGATAGCTAAAGATTATCAGGTTTTAGACAACATCCAGTTCACTGAGGTTAGTCAAGCTCCTTGCAACTTCCTGTGTGAGGCCAAATTGATGACATTTCATGTTGAGAAACTTCCGTTACAGGCCTAAGTTCTGAGAAAAATAACATGAAGAAATTTTAGGTACTCTGTCACGCCACACACACACACACACACACACACACACACACGCTTCCATTCCCCCCCCACCACCAAAGGAAACTGTGTAACTAATCAGCATGCACACTTCAAGAAGAACTCCTTCCTAAAGTGGGAAGTCATGCTAAAATTATGTAAAGGTTGAGAGAAAAATGAATAGGGACTAAATATAGGTAAAAGAACAGCAGTTTCTAAATTTGACCAGGTTTTCTGCCTACAGAACTAAGATGGAAGTAACCCTTACTTTAGGCTACTTCCTATCTTTACCATTGAATTCATCTGATCACACCCAATGTTGACCCAGAGGTCCTGGTTTGAGGATTATGTGACTTTGGGTGGATCACTTATCCTCCAAGCTTTTTTTTCCCTCCTCTGTGAAATACAAATACTATAATACTAATATTTCATATTTCTGTGTTGATTAAATGAGATAATGTGTGCAAAACACTCAGTACAGTGCATGCACTGCATGCATAAAAACTAATATCTGAACATAAAATAAAAGTGGTGCATACGCTACCATAGGACGGGCTTAGGCTCGTACTAATTGAAATTCTTCAGACCCAGATTGTATGAGGGCTAGGACAACTGTGTCTTCCAGTAGCAATGAGAATCAGCTGATTCACCAGAACTTCACAGATAAATGACTGTTTTGTCCTGACAGAATATTTCTTCGTTGAGTTATGACAGTTTAGGAAGAGGCTGTATGGTATTTAGCTTTGACTCCTCACTCTTGACACATAATAGGAATAATCACTTTTAAGGACTGAATGATTGAATATATAATTAAATGC